GAGCCATTCGTCCTGAGTTGCTTCTGGACCTGACAGAGAGGAAGCTCCCTGGAGTGACGGGGACAAGTGTCTTCTGTTGAGGTGAAAAGCAGCAGCTCACAGCTTGCCCTGTGTAGCATCCCTCCTATCCGCCGCCATTCTCCTTCCTGTGGTTCAGAAGCGCACCGTCGACGGCACCTGAAATTCCGAGTATTTACCTTGATTTGTTCAAGAGGGACACACACACACTTACAAACTTCTGCTGTAGTGTTGTACTTGTTTTAGTGTTATTGTTAATCATTTCCTGTGACTAATGGTGTGTGTGTGTGTGTGTGTGTGTGTGTGTGTGTGTGTTAGGGGAAACAGTACGGGTAGGCTTTGGTGCTCAGGTTTTTGGTATCTGTTGGGGGGCGGTCTTGGGATGTATCCTTTGGGGAAGGGGGATTAATTAAATGGTACTGTCACATTTATTTTTTTAAAGTATGCATTACATACCTTTAAAATTATATTTACTTTTTGTGTGGATGAGTGCAGTGTGTGTGGGTGAGTGCGTGTGCGTGTGCGTGCGTGTGTGTGTGTGTGTGTGTGTGTGTGTGTGTGTGTGTGTGTGGGCGCCACAGCAGGTGTGTGGAGGCCAGAGGATGACCTTCCTGGGTCAGTCCTCTCCTTCCACCATGTGGGTCTTGGGGATCAGACTCAGGGTGTCAGACTTAGCAGCAGGCGCCCTGACCTGTTGCGTCACCTCCCTAGGTCTTGCATTATACATCTGTTACACATTTACACCATGCCAAGATAATGCCTATTTAAGCATGTGTGGGTGAACCGATATGTGTGTGTGTGTGTGTGTGTATGTGTGTGTGTGTGTGCACGCGAGCGTGGATAGGTGCCTGAAAGTGTAGGGAAGGGAACTCGGCTTCTCTTCACCCTCCTAGATTCTTGGGCTACAAGTCAAGTTGACACAGAGGGATTAGTAGGGGAAATCCATGCTCTGTGTTCGGGGGCATAGGAGTCTGTCTCAAAGCAAGAGAGGAGTGAGGTCATTGACGCTTAGGTAGCATAATAGGCATGGGGACTTGTGGTGGGTGGCGGAAGCCGCCTCAGGGCAGATGGAGACTGCCTTCTACGTAGGTAAAGCCCCTGTGTACTGACAGCTGTCCGGAGCAGCTTTCTTACTAAAGGATCAATCTTTCCTGTGTAGATGCCCATTCTCTTTCAGAAGGACAGCTTCTCAGGACATGTGAAGAGGGGGCTTATTGGGGTCTTCTGAAGCCGTGTTTTGGGGTGGCACATCCTGAGCCCCACAGCAGTATCACTCCCTGTCATTTTGTGAATGTGTAAACGATGAAATCACTTTAATGCCAAAAACTTGTCTCTTTTTTTATTTAATGGTTTGTAGATCAAAAAATTATTTTAGTTATTTCTGCAGTTAGGTGAGGAGCAGAGTCTTTATTAGGGTGTGGGAGAGGTAGACAGGACAGAAAGGGAAGGGGGTGATGTTGTTTAGAGTACAGACTGGGTTAGTCTTCCCCCCCCAGAGGAAGCACGAGCTCAATGTCTGCTTCCAGTTGAGATCTTGTCTTTGGTACAGAGTCTTGGATGGTTTAGTCTGGCCTGGATCTTCCTGCCTCAGTCTCTCAGATGTTTTCTTTAGTGCTTTGTGAATGGCGAATATTATTTTTGGCTGTTTGTTTCTGGATTTTTGACATAGGATATGTTTGCACATAGGATGTGTTCGTTCTTGAGCTCCTCTGTGTAGTTGAAGTTGGCCTTGAACTCCCGATCCTCCTGTTTCTGCCGCTTGAGTACTGGGACTGGTATGTACCACCATGCTTGGCTATGCTTCAGATTTTTACCTTGAGTTCTTGGTATTATATCCAAGTTATTTTTGGAAAAAAGGAAAGAGTACTACTTGAGGAAAGAATTGATCTGATTTTTTTTTAAGCTTTATTTATTTCTACTTGTGTATGTGTGTTGTTGGTTTTTTGCTCTTTTTGGGGGGGCCCACCACCCAGATCCCAAATAAATCACACATGGAGTCTCATTCTTACTTGTGAATGCCTGGCCTTAGCTTGGCTTGTTTCTTACCAGCTTTCCTTAACTTATTCTGACTACCTTTTGCCTCTGGGCTTTTCCCGTTCTCTAACTTCTGTAAATCTTACTCTTAATCCATGGCTTGCTGTGTAGCTGGGTTGCTGACCCCTGGAGTCCTCCTCCTTCTCTGACTGCTAGGTCTTCCTTTCCAGATTTCTCCTTCTATATATCCTCTCTGCCTGTCAGCCCCACCTGTCCTTTCTCCTGCCTTGCTATTGGCCAGTTCTTCATTAGACCATCAGGTGTTTTAGACAGGCACAGTAACACAGCTTCACAGAGTTAAACAAATGCAACATAAACAAAAGCAACACACCTTAAAATAATATTCTACTACATATGTGCCTGCATGATTATATGTGTACCAAGAGCATTTGGGAGTCCTTGGGGGCCAGAAGAGGATGTCTTATTCCCTGGAACTAGAGTTACTGGCAATTGTCAGCTGCCATCTGGGTGCTGTGGGGCACTGAACTGGAGGCTTTGTGCATTCTAGGTAAAGACAGTACCATTGAGCGGTGAGTGGGTGTTCGCTGACTAGTCCTTTCCTTGCTGGTTGTAAGGGGAAGGAGATGGCATGTGTAACACACGCTGCCTGGTCTAGCTAAGTGTTTAGAACATACTAATTCTTCCCAAGCCCTCACAACTGCGAGAGTCTCCACACAATGTCTGGAGAAGGTCGGCCTGTATTTCTCTCTAGCCTTATGTGATCTGGGACTAGAGGTGGTTGTCTACCCGGCTCAGTGTTGCACACTGAAAATGACTTGAAAGTGAGCGACAGGCTTTACTCCCATTAAACCTTCAGCAGAATGGAAGATTCCTGTGTCCTGGAGCAGTTTCTGTTCCAAAGCACTTTCTGTAAAAGTGGCGTGTAAATTCCAGTGTACCAGCCACTTGAACTTTATTAGGTCCTCAGGAGATCTTTTCTCTCCTCCCAGGGCGTGGCCGGAAGGAGGACTCCCTGTTGATGTTAGGACCCAGGATCTTCTTCATGGAGTGGATAATGAGATATCTTCTAGGCAGAGGGATACTTCCCTTCCCTGCCTTCATCGAAATCTTCCCTACCCTTTAAACCCCACATGTCTTCACACACTCTCCAGACAGCCCCCAGTTCTCCCCTTGCTCTCTGTAGGAAACAGTGTTGCCCACATGCCCTGCCTTTGAGGTGTTCCTCCTGGGTGACAGCAGACCTGAGGGATGTCCCTTGGACCTTTGCTCTTTGTTCCATGCCCATAGCCTTGCCCTGGAAACTGTTCCGAGTTAGGACACGGCTGCTGATTCCAGTTGTCTTGTGTTTTGTTTTTAGTCAAAGTCTCTCTATGTAGCCCAGACTGGCCTGGAACTTGCTGTGTAGACCAGGCTGGCCTCACAGAGATCCTCCTGCCTCTGCCTCCCGGGTGCTGGGATTAAAGGCGTGCAACGCTGAGCTAGTTTTACTCTTTGTTGAGATCACTACTCCATGTCTTAGAAGATTCTCCTGTATGGTTTTCCACATAGCAAGCAGACTCCTTAACTTTAAGGAGGAAAAAAAAAGGAATTTAAAAATAACTTTGTGTGTCCTTCAATGCTTTTCTTTTCACAGACATATGCTAAATGGCATGCCATTCTTTTTTTGTTATTTAGCTATGTATTTTTTTTTAATACACAAGTGTGGTATATTTTTATCACATGCCAATATGTATTCAAATGATTCCCAGCAGTTGTATGTAATTTGCTTTGTAGTCTGTTAGGAATAACATTAAATTTATAACTATTACTACTGAATTTTAGGTAACCTTGTGAAGAAAATTGTCCTTCATGTTTTGTGGAATGTCTCCAACCATTAAACTGCATTGAATTAACATAAAATGACTAAATCTTTATAGCTTGTTCATCTTTTTAGTAGCTGAGCAGTCTCTGCGTTTCGGAACTGAGCTAGGTGCTGGGTGAGCTGCTCAGGTCTAAGAATCCTAGCATTAAGGGTAAAGCATGGCATGTGTGCCTCCAGGAGTGTTGGACATAAGCACTTTAGTTGAATAGGCACAGGAGAATTCCAGTATATTCAGATCAGACAGTAGCTGTCTGTGAATGTGGGATGTGTGTGTGTGTGTTGAGGTACAGACTGTGATGGACGAGTCTAGCTGTATGACAGTGAAGATTTGGGACACAAGCCATAGGGACCTAGTTCACTTTGAAGAATGGTGTTTTGAGTATCAATCTAAAGGCAAAAAAAGAAAAAATGGAAAACACGTTGTACTAGTTGGAGAAGTTTCTCACGGGGTATGGGTTAGAAGTTCTGGAGTTCTGTTACCTGTGCCTGGGTTAAGAGATGGTGAAGTAAGCAAGAGAGAAGGCTGGGATGTTCCTTGTTGGGAGGGATTAGAGTTGGAGACCTAGGTGTGGACTTGAGTTTCGCTAAATACTGATCCAGATAGAGTTGGTAAGTAAATGTGTGTAAATGGGCTGGTACACACACAGGAGTGATGAGGGCCTAGCAGCCATGACACACCATAGCAACAAGCACACCCATATCTTCACTCTAGGGGTGCCACTGTCCAGTGACCCGGACTCCTTGGAGAAAGGCGTAATTATAGACCTGGAGCATCTTGTGTGGCCAGAAAAATAAGGAAGTGCTCAAAAAACAAAGGATGTGGGCATGTCGAAGGGAGGAAGGAGCCAACCTCAAGGAGCTCTTAATAGCTAGAGCTAACTTTAGCAACAGAATAAATAGTGTGGTCCTGCATAATAATCCAAAGCGTAATATGTGTATTCACATGACATGAAATTTGTGCTCAGACAGGAAACCTCTTTTGTGCAGAAGAATTTCAAATAGTTTTTGTAGCTACCTTTTCCTCCAGGAGCCTAAAGATGAGGTTTGCACGCCCTCCAGCTCGCCGAGGGGAAACTGAGGTTGAGTTTTGTGACTCTTCTCCAGGGTAGAGTATGGGAAGGGAGAAGTGAGTTTACAGCAGCTGTCACTTAGCTGAGCGGTCAAAGCTAACCTGGTGTGTAGCCATTCTGTGACAGTGTGGGCGTACAGTGATGGTAGGACCCTAACCTGATGTCTCCCTATACCTGCAGCCCGATACAGCTATTTAAAAAAAAAGTCAGACAGGCCTACCTCTTTGCCGCCATCCGAGCCTGCCGAGGAGTTGCCGTGAGCTAGCCCACCCTCCCGAGCTGAAGAAATTTATGGACAAGAAGTTATCACTGAAGTTAAGTGGTGGCAGACGTGTACAGGGAATACTGTGGGGCTCTGGTCCCTTTGTGAATCTTGTGATTGAGCCTGTGGAGATGGCAGCCAGCGGGCCACAGACTAACATTGGAACGGTAGTCATACAAGGCAAGAGCATCATGTTAGAAGCCTCGGGAAGAGTCCTCACAGTGGCCGTTCCGCAGAGGAGTCCACATACCTCCCCAAAGGGCAGCTCTGACTATGGTGTAGGATTGGGTTGTGTACATTTTCATATGAGACTTTTTTTTTTTTTTTTTGCTAAGTAACTTTTGTGATACTGGGGGGAAAAAAGCCAGACAAAACCCACTGAGGAACATTTTGTAAAATACTTGACCAGGACTCCTCATCACCGTTAAGGATTGGAAAACAACAACAACAATGAAATAAAACTGTTAAGATTCCAGAGGAGGTCAATGTGACCAAGGAGACAGAGGCCAGGTAGCTACAATGTGGGACCCTGGACCAGGAGCCTAGAACGGAGGGATGTTAGTGGGAATCGAGAGTAACCCGGATGATGTTTGTTATGAGACATTCAAATGAGGGGAAACCTGAAATGAACAGACAGTGATTTCCCCATTATCTCCATTCCACATCTGTGGTTTTACTCTCTTGGCTTACTCTATACCTGCCCGTTAATCCATCTTATTTTAGAAAGCACTTCAAAGTGGCAAACATCAGTGCATAAGCCTTCCCCCCGTACAACCCAGCCTGTTTAAAGAATAAGTTCTTCAGAACGTTTTTATTAGCACATTAATTATACAGGATCATGGGTTCCATTAGGACATTTCCATATATGTAATGCATTCGATCTCATTCAGCCCCCATTTTGTTCCCCCTCCCAATCCCACCAATCCTCTGACTCTTCCCTAGCCTCCTAAGGTGGCTGTCCAGCAGGTTCCAGGCACTTCACAGTTGACACTATATCTGTGGTTGTGTCCTATAGAGTGCGGAGGAAGATGAAGAGTTACAAAGGACCTAGGTTTTGTTTTTCGTGTCCTAGAGTGATGAAAGCTGTGTGTGTGGTCACCTGAGCATGTTCGACTGCCGTGCAGCTGTATCTGTGGGCCCTGGGACGCTCTGGGGCCTGTGAGTGTCCAGGAAATAGTAGCTAACCTGGTGTCAGGGCAGCTGGAGGGCATTGTGTGCGGTGAGAGACCGGGCTGGGGCAGTGATGTGCCCGAGTTGGGATGTGTTGTGGTAGAGCATTTACCTGAGGAGAGCCTGAAGCCTCCCGACATCCTTCTTCCCTTTCCAGGGGTCACCCGAGGAAAGAGGATGCCAAGGAGAGCAGCTTTAGCTCTGGAAGGGGCCAGGAGGGTGATCCATCAGAGAGTGCAGTTATGCAGAAAGGACAGCAGTCACCCCCAAAGCCCACAGAGCTGGGGCTGTGCCCGGAGGATGGCCTTCCAGCTGCTAACAGTGGCCCTATTCAGTGTGGATGCATAATGACTTCCAAACTAATCAGGAACCAAAGCCTGAGGCTGGGGACGAGCACAAATATCTTGTTGACTGAGCAAACATCTCGATTTTGTCCGATAGGAAGTTACTGAGGAAGGTCAGAGTGATGTAATGGCGTGTGCTGAGCTTTCATCCTCAAACAGATGGGCCCCCGGGGTACCATCTGCAGCTCCCTGGGCCCTTGGAAATCATTTCCTATAAATGAAATTGTCATAAGGTACCATGGAGAGATTGGCGTGGTAGCCATACCAGAAGTAACTAGACAAAGGAAGGAGATTTCCAGTGCCGTTGGCTGCTTCCTTTCCTCCCTTTGCCTTAGAAACCGCCCTGAGATTTATGATTTTGTTCAGCTTTCTTGTGTCGCCTGTGAATATTGTTGGTGTCCACTCCCCGCCCTCCCCTCCGTCGTCCTCCAAAGTAAACCTCCCTTTCCCCTCTCAGGCTCGCACAACTGCCTCTTACCCCTAAGCCAGTGCCAGCTGGGCACTTTTTATAAGCTGTTTTGCTATTTCTGGTTTTTGTTGAGGAGGAAGTAGTGTTTTTGTTTCTGGTCTCTCCCCTCTCCCCAATCAAAGGAATATATTTGTTCTGGGAAGGCAAGGGTAGGGGATGTTTCCTAATCGAGTTCAGAGAAAGACGATAATATCGTATTTTAAGTACAGCATGGTATGTAAGTGGTGGGCTGTGAGTCATAATTGAAGTTGTTTTTTTTTTTGTTTGTTTGTTTTTTCGAGACAGGGTTTCTCTGTGTAGCTTTGCGCCTTTCCTGGAACTCACTTGGTAGCCCAGGCTGGCCTCGAACTCACAGAGATCCGCCTGCCTCTGCCTCCTGAGTGCTGGGATTAAAGGCGTGCGCCCCCACCGCCGCCCCCACCGCCGCCGCCACCACCGCCGCCGCCACCACCACCCGGCTAATTGAAGTTTTTAATGAAATGTCTCAATAAAGTATATCGGAGCAGAAAGCAGGATCTGTAGTACTTCTTGGTTTATTTATTCAGTAGTCACTGGCACCCCATGCCAGGCGTAGCTCTGTGTCCTGGTAGAGAGACGCCTTCACGTAGAAAATAGTGTTCTTGGAGGAGTGCAGCCCGGTAGAGGCAGGGGGACAGACTTCTTGGAGGAGACGGTTTTTGTATTGTATCTCAAGGGAATGTCTAGGTGAGGGACGGGGGTTTGGCAGAGGGAGACACCCACAGTGAGATATGAGCCAGCCCAGAGGGAGCCCAGACAGGCATGGGTTGTAAATGGCTGGCGTACTTGTCTACATGGGGATAGAACGGAGTGTACAATGGTTGAGACCCAGAAAGGGGACTCAGGAAAGGTTGTTTTGGAATCAAAGTGGAAAGCTGGGGGAGTCCTGTGGCTGAGTCCTGGTGAGGGACAGAGCGGCAGGGAGGTGGAGGTTAGCCTATCAAGTTTGCTGGCTTTGGTTTTCTGGGTGGAGTGGAGGGAGTGATGAAAGTGTGGAGCGCTTGTCGAAGGCAATTGGAGGGGCCTTTTTTCTGTCTTTTGAGGACGTTTCTGGGTCTGAGGATTCCAGGGCTCTGGCATTCTGGGCTACAAGAGGGCCTCTCTCGGAAGTCATTTTGGCTTGGAATGTGGTTGAGAAGCTGAGGCCTAGTCTGAGTCCCACCTTGTGCCCAATGAAGACGACCGCAGAGTAAGGAGAGTGGCTAAGGGGCAGAGGTGGATGACGAGTGATGGATTCTGAGAGGCCCCGGTGTGAAGAACAGGACACACTGAAGGGCCACCAAAGTGCCAGGACCTTGGGAGGGGGGCTCTGTGCCGGCTGGAAGAACCGGAACACAAGCATGGCGTGATACTGGTGACCATGACGTGGTCCTGCTAAAGCCTAGATTCGGGAGCCGGAGGTGGGTGTGATGAATGACCGCTGCTGTCACTTCGTGTGCTGGACACAGCTAAGTGCTTTCAAGTGTCCGCTAGGACAACAGCGCCATGAAAGGCTTATCCCCATCTACAGATGAGGCATTGAGGCCCGGAGAGGGGAAGAAGACATTGCTCCAGGTCACATGGTGAGTCAGAAAATGGAGTTGGGATTCTAATCCAGACTGTCCCCTGTGTTCTTTTCCCTCAGGGGCCGACTGCCGGGCACAAACGTACAGGAAAAAGACAGAAGGGAGAACTGTGACCTAAGGACCACCGTACCGCCTTTCCTCCGTGAATGAGAAGTTACCAGAAGTAGGTAGGTGTCCGCTGAGAGTTGGGGTGGAGGGTGGTGTGACCATGCATAGGGGAGCATCAAAGGACAAGCGGCGAGAGGGGAAATGGACTGGAGAGGTTCCATTTGTCCAGAACCGTGTTTGAGCCGGTGCTTCCTTAGCTGAGCAGGCGAGTTCATGCCCGGAGAGCCGAGTTCTCACGGCAGGGCGAGGGAAGAGTTCTGTTCAGACATTGCTGGCAGCGATGGGTAAGAACCATGTGCGTGTGCATCTGTACCACTGAACTCACTGTAGCCTTACAAATGGTAAAACGTTTGTTTTTTACCATCCTAAAAAGTAAGGTAGCGGAGGGAGGGAATATAGCCATCACCAGTTACAAAACCTTTTCCTTTGCCAAGTGGGCACTTAGCAAATATGTGAATGAGTGCTAGGGATTTTGCTAAGTGCTTTATGCATTGTTTTCATTTAATCCCTATTTTGAGGGATGAGGTCAGCTCTGCTGCACCGATGAGGGTCCTGAGTTTAAAGGGATTAGACAACTTGCCCAGGGTCGCACATTTAGAAAGCGGGGAAGCTGGTGCTGTTGGATCCCCCTGCCTCTACTCAGGGAACTGAAAAAGCAGAAAGAAGATTCTGGAAACTCTGTGAGGGGTGGGAGCTGTTAATAGAAGTAAGAAGAATGCATGATGAGAAGAGAGAGGTAGAAGGGGCCTAGTAATGAGACCACATGGTTGAAAGTGTGGTGGAAGAGCCTGGCCTCCAGTGTCTGGACTGGGTGGCGCTACAGAGCTGTCGGAGGGTACAGGAGGGGACTCCAGGTCATCATGAGTGTGTGTGGGAGGCTGTGCTACCTACAGATTCCCACTTACCAGCAGATTCTTCCCAGACTGGGACCTGTGGCTGGGCGGGGTGGATCCAAAGAGCAGCTTAGCCTGTTCCCCTTTCTCATGCTCCTCCCAAGTGTACCTCCTTCCTGTCAACTTCTGGGGGAGGGGGCAGCTGAGGACCCACTGAGTCTACAGTCAGGAATGTGATACTGGATGGAGAGGCATGGATGGAGAGGAGGAGGAGGAGGAGGAGGAGGAGGAGGAGGAGGAGGAGGAGGAAGAGGAGGAGGAGGAGGCGGAGGCGGAGGAGGCCGAGGAGGCCTGAGTATTGCTCTGTTGCCAGTAGCAAAGCCCGAGTGTGAGGTCAGATCATGGCCAACCTTCCCACTTTGTAGACAGACGGGACCTTTTGTCACGGGTGTTCTTTCTTTTTGGCAGAATAGTGTGAAATGAATCTATTAGGGATTGGATGGGACCGGCTCCTCAAGAACATTTTTGAGACTGTAACCTGAAATGCCTGAGGCATGTCTTCAGTGGTGGCCTGTGCTATTTGGGATCCCCCAGGGTACAGGTGCTAGGATGTCTCAGGTCCTTGGACTGAGTGAGGTGTTTATGAAGGGGGCCTCAGCTGTTTATGAGGGAAGTACCCCCTTGAGAGTCGCTGTTATCATTTTCCTTCATGTGTTTTCTTTGGCCCCAGCAGGAGTCATTCATCCTCCTGGTTGGTGGCTTTTAAATTCTGTGCTGGGAGGTGGGCTGGCTGAGCAGCGACACAATGGTCTGTGATTATGTAATCATTTAGAATAAATAAAAAGATGGTTCATGGCAGGTCCTGCAAGGGCAGCCTGGAAATGAGCGGTATCGGGAGGGATTAAGTTGCACTGCAGTTGAATTTTGCAGCTGTCAGGTTTTCCTGCAGTAAGGTCTGTCGGCTGTAACCTCCAGGTGTAAACAGAGCTTCATCAGCATCACCGAATAGCCTTCTGAGGATCCAGACAGAACTCGGTGGGATGCCGTCCATCAAAGAGTCATTGGCCAGGCCTTGTTTCTGGCTGTGATGTTTACCCCCAGCGGCTGGCAGGATCTGTGGAGCTTTGCTGCAAGGAGAGATAGAGGGTATCTGGCCTCCTCACTCGGGTCCTGTTTTCTTCAGTAGTTTGTCTTCTTTTCATCAGCTAAGACACATTTAGAGGCCAGATGAAACTTGCCTTTCAAATGGGACTGGAGTAACAGTTACTAAAGTAGTCTTTCACTTTGTAAAATAATTATATGCTAATTTTGGGGCTAGGGTTATACCTCAGTGGTAAAATACTTACCTTGCATGGGTGAGGCTCCGGGTTTGATTCCAGCCCCTCCTGGGGGTGGGCGGGGACTAATATTATAATAACTTAACCTTCTGTGCTTTTGCAAGAGGATTTTGTTGTTGTTTTCATGCCTGTATGTTCTCTCATCCGAGAACCTTCCTGGTGTATAGAATGAATTTAATATAGATGAATTCCTCGCACAGGGTGGAC